AGGTTCGCCTTGGTTTAAATCGGTTCCAGCACCAAATCATGGAAGAAAAGCCGATTCAGACTCGACTCTGTTCAGGTTCGCCTTGGTTTAAATCGGTTCCAGCACCAAATCATGGAAGAAAAGCCGATTCAGACTCGACTCTGTTCAGATTCGCCTTGGTTTAAATCGGTTCCAGCACCAAATCATGGAAGAGAAACTGGTTCAGATTCGACTCTGCTCAGGTTCGCCTTGGTTCAAATCGGTTCCAGCACCGAACCGAACCAAATTTTGGTTACCAAACCGACTAAAAGTTGATCGGTTCCCAGTTCTATTATCCATTCTTTACAAGTTTCACAAAGGGATTTACAAAGGAAAAATTGAAAAGAAAAACGTGAAAAGCCTTAGGCACTAGACTAATAAAAGGTTTTGATGGAAAATTTTAAAAAAAAAAAACTTACCCAACTTCTGCATTTATCACACACACAAGTAAAGTGATGATTAGAAGAATTAATAGAAGACGCATTTTTCGATTTTAAAAGACGCTAAATAGAGATTTCATTTGAGATTTGAACGGTCATGTTTTTCCCATTGATACTTTCGAAATTTAGTAGATCGAACACGTAAACAAACCCTTTTTATTTGCAAATATGTAGCACTTACACTTACTACTATGTAGAAGAAAGAGAAATTCTCTAAAATCAAAGAAGAAAATAATATCATCAATCAAAGGCTCTCTGTCCGTTTCTTTTCTTTTCTCTTTCCTTTTTGTACGATCTTTTCTTTTCAAGATTTGCTATATTTCACCTCAAATGATGAGTTGTTAATTGTTAATTGTTAATAGTATTGGGTTGATGGAAAAGTCCTTTCCGATTTTTTGGGAGAGTACCTTAAATTTGTCGAATTTTGACGTTTTATAGCTCATCCTAAAGCTGAATTCAAGACGGATCGATTGGTAAAAACCGTTTTGAGATATCTCTTTTCTAAAAGTTTTTACAGCTATTTTAGTAAAGGGCGGCAGAGCCAAAAAATGGCTGTTTTCACGTTTCGTTAGTTTTCCGTGCAGAAACCTAGGCTAAAAACATGTGTTTCGTGATCAGCGTCAAAAATAACCCCTAGACACGCATTTTCAGAATCTTAGCAAAAAATTATTTTTGAAAAATATTGTCACCGGTGGAAGTCGAACCAGCGACTCTCAGATCAATAGCCTTTCCGCCGCTTTTCGCGATCTTCCTTCGTTTTTCTCGTTTTTCTCGTTTTTTTTGTTTTATCATTTTTTTGAATTTTTGAGATTGCCGAGAGATTCCGCTAGTGTCTTTGGAGATTTTAGCAAATTCTAACCAGTTTTAACAAACAAATTTGTTGGTTTAAAAAGCTTGGAGCCGAAACTGAACCGATGGAAGGCTCAATCGGTTTCAAACCGAATTGATTAGATGGCTTTATCGGTTCTGAACTGAAGCGACCAAAAGTCCATCGGTTCCTATGGGTATTGCTTTCTAATGTGGATGCTCCGGATCTGAAAGGCTTTGGATTTGAAAGGCTTCGAATTTGAAAGGCTTCGGATCTGAAAGGCTTCGGATCTGAAAGACTTCGGATTTGAAAGGCTTCGGATTTGAAAGGCTTCGGATCTCCTTTTGGCTGAAATGGCTGAAATGAAAGGCTGAAAGGCTCCTTTCGAACTCAACCCAGATATGGGCGTTTTTCATCAAGGTCGATCCGATCCGGAATGTCGCGATTACGGATCGGATTATTGTAGATAACCTCTAGAGTGAAACAGTCGACTGGAAAGATTTTATGACTGATCTCACAAATATCTTTCCGAAATTCTCCTTACTCGTGTAATATCCAAAAGATTTCTTATCCTTTCACCTCTATTTTTTTTTGATAAACGCTTCAAGCCGTTTAACCTCGAAAAGTTTAATTATATTCTGTAGTAATCATATGCTGTAGACAAGGATTTATAAGAGCAAAACAATCCGATTCGAGTCTAGAAAATCGGGAAATTTCTCCGGATTATTAGAATCTGAAAGAGTAAAATTTTGTTTTTCAATCGTGCTTTTTTATTTTTCAAATTTTCAAATTTTCAAATTCACTTTTTCCAATCCAGCCCTAATTGGTTTTTTGATGAAACTTTTCACAAGTTTTATTGGTGAAAAGAAATCGATTTACCTAGCAGTGTTGCAGCAATAATGATCACTAGAATATGAGCATGATAATCTCGCCAAATGAGACGCAAAATTGTGATAAACATCACGAAAATCGTCATCAAAAGCTTGAAAATAGATTGATTCAATGAAATGTTTACTTTCATTTCTTGTAAATTAATATCTTTGCAATTGTATTTGAAATTGTATAGTTTCAAAGCCAAAATTCAAATGGATAAAGCTTTCAATTTCAAAACTCATAAGTGGCTGTTTCAGCTGCAACACTTCGAAACCATGAAAAGCTATTCTTACTGTGAATAGAGCTGCACGAGCTACCTCTGTTTACATGTGAAAATGGCTGGAAACCATTTTTGCAGCAATAATGATCACTAGAATATGAGCATGATAATCTCGCCAAATGAGACGCAAAATTGTGATAAACATCACGAAAATCGTCATCAAAAGCTTGAAAATCGATTGATTCAGTGAAATGTTTACTTTTATTTCTTGTAAATTAATATCTTTGAAATTGTATTTGAAATTGTATTTGAGATTGTATTTGAGATTGTATAGTTTCAAAACCAAAGTTCAAATGGATAAAGCTTTCAATTTCAAAACTCATAAGTGGCTGTTTCAGCTGCAACACTTCGAAACTATGAAAAGCGATTCTTACTGTGAATAGAGCTGCACGAGCTCCAGTACTGGACAATGAAATATGATATTTGAGAAAACGATCGTCACTTTCGCGCGTCTGTAACTCCCGTGTCTTTGAGTTTAAACTATTAGTGTTTAACATTTTCTGAAAGCTCTTTTCAAGGGCTACACAATGGTAATATTAATATTTATAAATACGGTAAAGACAATGGAGTTACAGACGCGCGAAAGTGACGATCGTTTTTTCAAATATCATATTTCATTGTCCAGTAGTGTATACTATGGATACGTAGGAAAACCCCTCGTCATCTTCCCAATCAAACAACATAACTTTCATAACATAATATTAATATTATTATTGTGTAGCCCTTGAAAAGAGCTTTCAGAAAATGTATAACACTAATTGTTTAAACTCAAAGACAAGGGAGTTCCCGAAAGTGACGATCGTTTTTTCAAATATGATATTTCATTGTCCAGTAGTGTATACTATGGATACGTAGGAAAACCCCTCGTCATCTTCCCAATCAAACAACATAACTTTCATGATTTCTAACGTACCTCTGTTTACATGTGAAAATGGCTGAAAAAAGCTATTTTTGCTCAAAAATCTCGCAAAAAAATTGATTCTATGCGTTCAAAAATCTTTTTCTGAACACGATTTGGAGAAAGCAAAGAGAATGGAGCTGTGTTTGAATGAAAAAAAATCCCCGTTCTTTTTCCAGAACTTTCACCGCTTATCTTTTTGTCAAATCTTTTCTCGGATTGACAGTGTTTTGGCTTTTCCCAAGAGAAACATTATATTTTTTATAAAATTTTGAAAGAAATTGATTTCACATGATCGGTCAAATTTAGTCATACCTACTTTTTCGCGATTTTGTTCCCACGCCTCTTCTGAAAGTGTGTCGCTTTGAAGGGTTCGACTGATAAGATAGTGGTTTGAGCTTTTCTTCGTAAACTTTTCTATCTCCCACTCTCTGCTTGGGTTATTTTTTGAATACAAATTTAACATGATATAAATGGAGTTGATTTAATGAGTCATTAATTACCGTATTTATTCTTATAGAAGCACAATCTCTAATAGATTCTCTAATAGAATCTCTAATAGAATCTCTAATAGATTCTCTAATAGAATCTCTAATAGAATCTCTAATTGAATCTTTAATAGAATCTTTAACAGAATCTCTAATAGAGTCTCTAATAGATTCTCTAATAGAATCTCTAATAGATTCTCTAATAGATTCTCTAATAGAATCTCTAATAGAGTCTCTAGTAGAGTCTCTAATAGAATCTCTAATAGATTCTCTAATAGAATCTCTAATTGAATCTCTAATAGATTCTCTAATAGAATCTCTAATAGAATCTCTAATAGAATCTCTAATAGAGTCTCTAATAGATTCTCTAATAGATTCTCTAATAGAATCTCTAATAGATTCTCTAGTAGAGTCTCTAATAGAATCTCTAATAGATTCTCTAATAGATTCTCTAATAGAATCTCTAATAGAGTCTCTAATAGATTCTCTAATAGAAGCAATCTTTTGAAATCTTTCGAAATCTTTTGAAAGCTTGACTTTAAACCGCCTTTTGATCCCTCTATCAATAGAAATAAATAGAATTATTATGGTCATTAAAATTGTGGGTGATTTTAAAGATGCACATTCTATCGTACTTTTTCATTCAGTCATCTCTGTGTATCTATTCCCTCGTTTTATTACACCTAATTATGTATTACTGGAATACTTCTTTATTGGATAATACAGGGTGGCGCAAAAGTCCTTGCACCAAAGCAGGTATGACTAAATTTGACCGATCATGTGACATCAACTTCTTTCAAAAGCTTCTTTAAACCGCCTTGTGATCGTAAAACAGGTACTCTTTTCCTGATGAGGTTAGAAAAAGCTCTAAAAACAAGATTTGCTTGTTGTCTTTGATTAGATTTATCTTTGATTTGATTTATCTTTGATTTGATTTATCTTTGAACAAGCCTAGAAAAAGATCATCTTGATTGATTAAAGCCTTGCAATTAGCTTTTTTTTTCTTTTTACAATCACTGTTTTATTCGTCGCTTTGCTATTTTCTTCAAAAATACCTTGTGCGACAAGATGCTCATTAAAAAAAGATGTTTACACATGGACTTTTTGGGTTGCTAGGGAAACAATCTATATTTTATTTACAGGAAAGAAAGTTCTCTTTGTCATTTTTTTGTGGCAGCTGCTCTTTTCAAAGCAAATGATCACTTGGAAAACTCAAAGACGACATATCGGGAATTTGATCTTTTGGATTTTATTCTGCTTTCTTAGCTGGCATTTCTTTGACTCTCATTTTCAAAATCAGCAAAAGCAAGAAACGCAAAATGACGCGAATTTGGATTTAAAAGTATGTTCACTATTTTTTTTTTTCAAAAGACAAAAAGAAAGTTGAAAGAATTTCTTTTAACAATCAAATCCTACATTTTCTAGTAGAACTCATTTCGTTTTATTTTGTTTTTTTTTTTTTGCTTGAAAACAATCAGCCAAAAAAAAAAAAACTTTCTCTTTAAAAACAAGCAAATTAGCCAACAGGAAAAATATAGGCTTAAAGTCTGAAAAATCTTTAGTTGACTTCATTTTATATAAACTAATAAGTCTACATACAAATTGAATAAAATTTAATAGGATTTGTTGAGTTGTTTGAAAAAATTTCTGAAAATCGATGAGAATTTGGGAAGCTAGATAGCTCTATTAGTACTTTCAGTGTCCTTCACGTCCTTCACCAGAGTCCGACCCTCAGAGTCCTTCACGGATTCCTCCACAATTCATCCCCTACCCAAGAAGGTACCCCCTACCCCTTTTAAGCATGTTTTTCTAAATTTCATCATTCATTGATTAGGAAATGCATTTAGACAAAACATGAGCCATTGCGTTCCGACATTTGGCAAAATCAACATCTTCATAGCTTACAAAGCTGGAGCACTCAAGGAGTGGGTTCGTTTTCGAGTGTTATGATGTACTTTTGGAGTGTTATGGTGTACTTTTCGAGTGTTATGGTGTACTTTTCGAGTGTTATGGGGTACTTTTCGAGTGTTATGGTGTACTTTTCGAGTGTTATGGTGTACTTTTCGAGTGTTTCAATGAGTAATTCCATTTCAATGAGTAATTCCAGTCACTACCATGTAGCTCTTTCATCGTGGAGATGCTACTTAAAAAGCACTAACTATACGTTGGTTCTCGTCGACGTCGACAATGATCCTCGTGTCACTTCGAAATGCAGTCAATATAAAGAGGCTTGTAATAAAGAATCATTTACTATAATTTTGAAAAGTTTTATTTATGTCTATGTATTTTTCGCTCTATTTTTGACCTATCCAATTAGTTACGCAAAAATGTTTCTTTTTTAAAAGAATTTGGCTATGGTGTACAGTGTAGGTGTATGGCTATGGTGTAGTTAGAGTTAGAGTGTAATTTGGCTATGGTGTAGTTAGAGCTATGGTGTAGTTAGAGTTAGAGTGTAATTTGGCTATGGTGTAGTTAGAGCTATGGTGTAATTAGAGTTAGAGTGTAATTTGGCTATGGTGTAGTTAGAGTTAGAGTGTAATTTGGCTATGGTGTAGTTAGAGCTATGGTGTAGTTAGAGTTAGAGTGTAATTTGGCTATGGTGTAGTTAGAGCTATGGTGTAATTAGAGTTAGAGTGTAATTTGGCTATGGTGTAGTTAGAGCCTGTCACTGACAATAATTAATGTTTGATCGCGAAAAGTTTAAGAAAAGTTCAAGAATGGAAGAAAATACTAAGATTCGAAGGGATCGAAGCACTCTTTTCCGCCTCTTCTCATTCAAAAGTCTCACCTAGAAGCTAGACTTTGTTTTCCTTTTTTAGATATGTTTTTTTCCCTTTTGTCCTCCCCTCCAAGATAATGCTTTTTCAAATCGCAAAGGAAATCGAATCTAAAAAGCAAAGAATCTAAAAAGCATTGTATTTGATTATTTTCTGGGTTGAAATTTCGGTGTTCGATGAACCGAACCGGGCTAGAATCAAAAAAAATACATCGGCTATCTAGTGAATGAAAAAAACAATACTGAAGCTCGTTTAGTTCATGTTTCTTCGACATTGTGCTTTGTTGCAGTATATGAGCGAGGCCGATTGGACTATTGCAATGGATGCGGATACTGGTTAGAAGCTAGAGATTTTTCGATAACTAGATAACTATGCAGTAAATACTAGCCATAACTTAGTCTCCTTGGGTCGATGGTAAAGATCTGCCATAGGATGTCAAAAAGTAAAGCAAAAGAGATGAGCTGAGAAATTTGATAGAAAATCTCGAGTTCTAAATTGCTTTTTCAAAATTATTCAGCCAAAATTATTAGTTTTTAATGTTCTTAGAAGGATTGTAGGTCTAAATCTAATAAAAATCTAAATAGGATTTTAAAAGAGGGATGGCTGATAGCTGATGGCTGATAGCTGATGGCTGATAGCTGATGGCTGATAGCTGATGGCTGATAGCTGATGGCTGATAGCTGATGGCTGATAGCTGATGGCTGATAGCTGATGGCTGATAGCTGATGGCTGATAGCTGATGGCTGATAGCTGATGGCTGATAGCTGATGGCTGATAGCTGATGGCTGATAGCTGATGGCTGATAGCTGATGGCTGATAGCTGATGGCTGATGGCTGATGACTGATGGCTGATAGCTGATAGCTGATAGCTGATGGCTGATGGCTGATAGCTGATAGCTGATAGCTGATAGCTGATAGCTGATGGCTGATAGCTGATGGCTGATAGCTGATAGCTGATGGCTGATAGCTGATGGCTGATAGCTGATGGCTGATAGCTAATTAAATAAAACGACAAATCAAATTAGACCTTTTTACTTGTATTTCATCCAACTCTGAGCCGTTGTTTTCGGCTGAAAACTTATTGTTATTCGAGAAAAAAAAAGCGATGACCCAGCTATTGGGCAGCTATTGGGCAGCTATTGGGCCAAGTCGCGTGAGGGCCCAAATTAGGCCCAAATAATTAGCCCAAATTAGGCCCAAATAATTAGCCCAAATTTCTTCAATCTTCAATGTTCCAGGTGTGATCAACCCGGAGCATTGTATCGAAGAGTACATCGATCCGAGAGTCCCACTGATCTTTCACCAACGATTCCACAACTACGAAATCGCCGCCGATACATTTATTGTACTTCGGAATTCGTTCTTTTTTTTCCTTGAATTATCAAATGTTTTAGGTGAAAAACTCAACTTTTGCTAGAAATTTCATCAAAGAGTGGGCCGATTGGGATTTTCGGAGGCCAAAACTTCAATTCGACAATCGGGACAACGGCGCGTTACATGTGAGTCGTTCAAAGTAAAAGCAGCGTCAGATTTGGCGTCAGAAATCATGAAAGTTATGTTGTTTGATTGGGAAGATGACGAGGGGTTTTCCTACGTATCCATAGTGCCTTATAGTTTCTACAAGTTTTCAGAAAATTTGACAGCCAAATTGGTACAGTGCTGTCGAGGCTTCTGCGAGCTTGACTAGCACAAAGTAGAGTCAGCTTTAGGCTAAAAGCTTAAGTTTGACTTCCCCAATTTCTTAAGTCTGGCAAGATAAAGGAAATTGGCAAAAAAGCAGATGAGTATAGCTTTTGGTGGCGAAAGTATTGACCAAAGACCAATACTTGATGAACTAGATAAGGGTCGAAGAATTAGTTTTACCAAATTCTTCATTCATTTGTAACATTTTGATGATGAGCGCTGGGTTATAGCTATAAAAGTTCTACTGTTTTCTTGTAGATAAGTGCCAAGACTGATCCATTAGACCATACCTCACAGGCATACAGTACTGGACAATGAAATATCATACTCGAAAAACGATCGTCACTTTGGGGAACTCCCTTGTCTTTGAGTTTAAACAATTAGTGTTATACATTTTCTGAAAGCTCTTTTCAAGGGCTACACAATAATAATATTAATATTTAGAAATACGGTGTTTTTTGAAATACGGTGTATTTTCAAAACTGTTTTTCTTTATGATCGAGTGCTGGAATCGCTCTGAAACTACGATTTTCGGAATCTACGCAAAAATTTACCTTAGAATGATCAATATTTTAAAATTTGTATTGTATCAAAATTGTATCAAAGTTTTATAGCGAAAAAAAGCACATTTGCGAAATTCTCACCTCTTGAGCGTCGCATTCAGGGAATAATGGATTGTCCAGTACTGTATATACCGTAAATACTGTAATAGTACCCCACCCGCCTCGTACAGTCGCGTAGTCGCAAAAGTTTTTTAGTATTTCATTTTTTTTCAAAGCGCCCGTACTTTCAAAAAAATGCGTCTTTGGTATCAAAAAATAGCCCTGAATTTCAGCTATTTTTTGATACCTAAGCGGGCATTGTAGCATAAACCAGTGTCGAAAAAAGCTCGTTCAAAGCTAGACTACGCAAAACTCCGCACCGTCATTATGGGAGTGGGGTACTATTACAGTATTTACGGTATGTATTAGTAATTTTGAATTTAATGGGAACTGATTAATGGTTGCTAATTCTTGAATTGTATATAACTTGTTGTGATCGGATCCTATCGCCTGATCGGATCCTATTGCCTGATCGGATCCTATCGCCTGATCGGATCCTATCGCCTGATCGGATCCTATCGCCTGATCGGATCCTATCACCTGGTCGGATCCCAACATAACATATATAAAGATGCAATTGCTCGAGACGATTTTCAACGAGACAGCCCCAAATGCTGTTGAGATGTGTCGCGAGATCTGGGTGACTCATACCATCGATATTTGGTCATATTTTGCGATGGTACAATGTGCAAAGATGATGATGGGTTTGTTATTTTGTTGAAAATCGAAAATGTTTACCAAAATGTGTTCAAAGTTTAAAAAAGGTTTCATTTGAAGGTGCGAATCGCTTCTGGCCGGGCAAATTGTTGATTTATCCAAAAGGAGAAGGGATGACAAGAGATGATTGGATTACAAATGACCATGGGACAAAGTGAGGAGAACTTTTCGGAGATTCGTGTGAACTTTTAGAAGTTAAGATTCTCGGATCGAGATTTTCTATTTCATGCCTGGAAACATCAATCGGTTACGCCCACCTCAGCATACTCATTTGAGGTTTATCTATCGAGAAAAGTCAAATGTATGTGTGCTATTAGGTTGGCAAGTTATAAACGATCGCTTGCTTTGTTCAATGATTTCTTAGAATTCAAGAAGATTTTTGCGGGGGTTTTTTTTCTGTAGAATGCTTTTAAAAAAAATTTCATTTTCAAAAAGTCACCTATCAAATATCCTTCTAGTCTAATCGTAATAGGAATTCAGAAAATCCCCGACGTTGACAAATGTGGAGTGGGCACATTAGAGGGATGGTATTGGCGAAATGGAACGAGAGTCAGTGAAAAGGAGCTTCTCGATCTTCTCCTCAAATCCGAAACATATCACATGAAGTGGCCGGTTGAGCCCCGACAACACCAAGTAAGCATTCGTGGATTCATAGCTGATTCGTGGATTCATAGCTGATTTGTGGATTCATAGCTGATTCGTGGATTCATAGCTGATTCGTGGATTCAGCGCAAAAACCAGAAGAACTAGAGCTCAGGAAACAAGTTCTACCCCGTTTTTTGGCCTAGGAATTCCCCGTTGAAGTCTGGTTTTCTCTAAGTGGTCTGTGTGTACGGTACTGGGATGGTCCGGCCACAGAAGCTGTACGCGGATTCCCTTGGAAACTGGGTAGAGCTACAATTGACAAAACAGGTGTAAACTACTAGGGAAAGTCTCAGTATCTTCCAGTCAAAGTTCATTTTGTAAAATATGCAAATGATATTGGCCGCAGTGGGAGAATACGCAATCTTTCACATGGCTGACTAATTCCAAACCATTAGGCCAAAGTGTCATCGATTTTGAAGGGAAACATCCGGGGGGTTATCGAAAATTTAATACGATGACGAAAACACTTTAGTTTTGAGGGGTTTTTTTTTTGTTATTGTTGCTTATGACGTTTTCTCATTCTTTTTGATGGGTATGGCAGATAGAAGAATGAATTTTGTGAGCTCAAAAGAAGAGTGGAACAAAAAGTACTGAATATATTAAGTGGAGGGGATGAAATAAGGATATAATGGTTATCGAGATGGTGGAACGGGAAGGAAATAAAGGCTGGAATATTGGGATGTGACCAAGTATTGAGTGTGTGCATAAGTTCGCTACTACTAAATAGTATTTGTTATTCACCATTTGCCAAGCACTATATATCATTTGAAAGAGCAGTTCAACCTCTAAAAATCCCATAAACCAAAAAGCCACACAATAGCATCTCTATCGACTTTCGAGGCATGTTCTTGTGAGATCTCCTTTGAGGGATTTTGATAATGATCACTAAATTATAAAAATTTTGACCAATAGCTCAAAAAAGCTTTCGAAAAAATTGTTGAATTGAGCTTGAAGCCTGAAAATTTCCCCGGCTTTTAGCCTATACATAGCTCTACCTGAAAGCCTTTGAATGTAGTCCTCAGAACTTTAAATGACGCAATTCAGACTGAAACTTCCCAAAAAGAACACCCAAAATGTTCTGGCTTTTGTATTTGTAGATATTAAATAGCTCTTTCAAATTTCAAACACTTGACAAATGACGGACATTATCATGAACGAACGAAAAGAGTTCGGGCTTTTCCTACTTGTTAGGTGTTAGCCGGCAAGTTAGGTAAGAAATTCAGGTTAATTGGCTTCATTTACAGACACGGAAAAGTACGGATATCATTTTGTACGAATAAAATGTTGTTTTTATAGAAAGCCCGAGTGATTCCATGGTTCGAAGTCTCCGAACTCAAGCGATGTCATCCGAATTGCATGGATCGGACAAAGCTTTAAACTTGTTTCTGAAACAAAGTGTATGTCTGTATAAATGATTCGCCTCTTCAAGAAGTAAAACACATTCAAACGCAAACAAAGTTTCACAATAATATTTGTAAAATTTGTTTTTCTTTCTTAGAAAAAGGCAATCTTACAAGAAAGAGAATCAATGTCTTATCTTGTTATTCCCTGTTCTTCTCTTTGTTTTACATGTTTTTTAGATTGGTGTAAGTAAATCCCGGGCCAGATTTACGGAAACAGTTGTGCGATCACTTTTTTTGTCAAACGTTCTCCAACGGTGTTTCACTAAAAAAGCAGAAACTCGTTGTTTCCCATCTTCTCTTTATTCATCAGACTATACTTATAGTTTTTGATTTCAAATCCCTTGTATATTGCCGTATTTACTTTGATCTTATTTTTTGCTATAATTCTTTTCCACCCTAAGTCATCTATTGAAAAAATTTCATTCGTAATCGGCTAGCCGTTAACGAATGATTCGTAAACGGCTAGCCGATAACGAATCATTCGTAAACGGCTAGCCGATAACGAATGATTCGTAAACGGCTAGCCGATAACGAATGATTCGTAAACGGCTAGCCGATAACGAATGATTCGTAAACGGCTAGCCGATAACGAATCATTCGTAAACGGCTAGCCGTTAACGAATGATTCGTAAACGGCTAGCCGATAACGAATCATTCGTAAACGGCTAGCGAAAAATTTCATTCGTTAGCGGCTAGCCGTTAACGAATCATTCGTTAGCGGCTACGACATATACTCACCGATAAAAACCTAGAGAAAAACAACCTTGAGGCTAAATTGAGGCTAAATTGAGGGAATTCGGTTACATTTTGAACTTTTAACAATCCGTCTTGAAGTCTTGAAGTCTTGAAAAACCGTCTTGAAGAGTAGTGCGCTAAAGTGCCGTTTTTCTATAGTCAAAATGGCACTTTAGCGTACTTTTCGGTTTTACTGTATAACTCGACTTCCAGTAATCAGATCACTATCTGTTATCGAAAAATAACAAATACTGGGACCTGATAAAACTGAAACTGATAAAATCCAAGCAAGTTTTAAGCCTTTTTGTGGCCTTGATTAAAAGGGCTTATGGGTAAAGGGCCGTCTTTAAATTTAATTACGTTCTTTAGCTTTTTTTTTTGCTTAACTTCTTAGTACGACAACAAAACGCTTTAAATTTAGTCAAATTACACTCTTTAATCTCCAAAATGGTTTCTTTGAGCCTTACCTACATCATTTAAGTTTAATAGACGTAAATTCGACTGCAAAAAGCAAAAGTTTTGACAAAAATACCTTAAAAGAAACAAATTTGAATACAAATAGCAATAAGAAACGAGGAAATAAAAGATAAAGATAAAGATAAAGATAGCTAATACAAATTTGTTCAAGTTTTTGGCTGTAGCTAGTAATAAAGATTTGTTAGTTTAAATTTAACAACTAACTGTTTCTAGAGAGCTCATTCCGTCAATTAAAGTTTGAATCTTATAGATAAATGGGTCAATGGACTTATTTGGATTAAAACTTGCTTGGATTAATGTTTAGTTTCAATTTTATCAAGTCCCACTATTTGTTATTTTTCAATTTATATAAATAAACAGTTAATTAAACTATTTTTGCTGTATAAATCAACCAGCGTTTATCGGGTAAACGGACTCGGCCTGGTCTCCATACTCAGCCGAATTCTGGGGCCAATGTTAGTTTAAACTTAATAATCAATTGTTTCTAGAGAGCTCATTCCACTAATTAAAGTTTGAATCTTATAGATAAATGGATTAATGGACTTATTTTTCCGTTTCTCAGCACGTGTGGCTGACTGGTTAAGTGTCTTTTATCTTAATCGGAAGGTCGAGGGTTCGAACCCCACATGCGACATGGTCACCCCCTTCGGATTTCCTTTCCCTTCGGGTTGAGAGGTTTTCTGGAGGGCAGTCTGGTGGTTGTGGCCCCAGTTCTTTAAAGTGACAAGCCACTCCTTCATCGTCATCTTCCCTTCACCACCAAAAAAGCTATTTAGTTCCCCATTGAGCTTAGCGTTAGGGAGCCGTCTGTCATGACGTGGGTTAAGTTAAGATATAGCCTAGTATTGTGTGTGTCGTTGTATTGTGATTGATATATTTCGTGTATGCGATAAAATTCACCACTGGTAGCCCCAGTCGGTATTTTTTTTTTATCCACGAGAATTTTGCTTCCTTGATGTTGTAAATTTTAAATTTTAGCAAATTAAAGTTGCTAAAAAAAGTTTTTCCATTAAGTAAACACATTGGATATTTTAGCTACATATTGATTGCTTTGAACGAGAGTAAATCGTCTACTTTCTGCGATGCAGAATAGCAAAAATTGCACACACTTATCAGCCACCCTGTAGATTCCCTATTAAACTATTAATGTTATTTTAGGATTGAGATCGATGAGAATGATCTAAATGATATGCAAACGCCTAGAGATTACCTCAATTACATTTCCGAAAACGTTCTTTATTGAATAAAGTTTTGAGTAAATCTTATTTTCCACTCAAACCATTCGATCTTTGAAAGAAAACTCAATTTCTGTACCCAGAAGTAATCAAAATGTGTTTGGGAGTTTCCTCTCAATGGACTCAAAGAAATTTTCATCACTTTCATCAGAAACAAAACTGATAAGAGAATACAAGAAGTGTTTCTCAAAAAGGGTTATATAAAGAAAGAGAACTTTCTCAAATTGTTCAATTCTCTCAAAAAAAATGTTGAAGTCTCTTCTCGTTCTCGTTCTCCTCTTCGCCGTTTTCTCGTCGACATCGGCTGATGGTGTGAGTGCTTAGGCTTAGTGCTTAGGCTTGGTGCTTAGGCTTGGTGCTTAGGCTTTTAGTGCTTAGGCTCAGGCTTAGGCTTATTAAAGGCTCAACTTGAAAGTAAACTCTTTTTTAAAGCATTTGAAGTTATCCAGAAGGCTCTGTACTAATTTTTTTTCCATTACTTGCCTTGGTAAACAATTTACGAAGTTTACCTTTAACTATTGCTATTGTTGTTGCTGTTAACTATTGTATCTTTAATCATAACAAAGGAATTACCCCATTTCTTAACACCATGCGAAGGCTAGCGGCTAGCGCCTCGCACTAAGTCTATTTGGGTTTCGGTAGGCTTAAGCCTAGGCCTCTTTAAATCAAATTCTTTAATTCTTCTGATTAGATGATTAAATGAAAGGTGTACTTTCTTAAATAAGAGTTTTCTACAACGTAAAGACTTTCGAAGAATATCGTAATCGAATACGGAAAAGTGAAGCGGTGCAAACCAACATAACTTACTTTTGGGAAAGCAATTTGTGCAAGATAAAAACAATGACACTTCGAGAGTCTAAACTCTTTCAAAATAATAAGTTACAGTTTATTCATGCTTTTTATAAGGGCTTGTTGTTTTTTGATTGTCCCAAAATTTCAGTGTGAAGACGTTCATTGCCCACCGGGAACACATTGCTTTGCCAAATGTGGATGGTCTGGGTTCTGTTCTGGGGAATGCATGCAGGACACTCTGATCGTCGACGAGCCGGCTGCTCAAATGACTCAACAACAAACGAAATTGTCTGAATTACGTTTCAATCGTCTCGTTAATAAGAAGAACGTTTGATGCTTTGAAATGAAGAAATAAATAGTGAATGTGAGTAAAAATGAGTCCACATTCAAAAGAGCACTTTGTTTCAGAATTTCTGCAACAATTCTTTCGTTCTTTCTCATCAATTCTTTTGTTCTTTCTCATCAATTCATATTTGTGGGTCATTTCTCCGAAACATTCTTAACCTTTAGATATTGGTCAAAATTGTGATAATTTAGTGATAATTATCAAAATCCCTCAAAGGAGATCTCACAATAACATGCCTCGAAAGTCGATAGAGATGTTGTTGTGTGGCTTGTGGTTTATGTGATTTGTAGAGGTTGAATTGATCTTTCAAATGGTTGGCAAATGGCAAAGATTGTTATGAACAAATACTATTTAGTAGCGAACTTATGCAGACATTCAATAATTGGTCGCATCCCAATCCTCCAATCGATAAGTACCGTTATTTATTATAGAAAAGTCAGCAAAACTTACGGACAAAACTAGTTTTTTGCAAAATGTCGACTTTCGGGTTTTCGAGGCTCTGGAGCATTGAATTTTTGCATTTAGCGTGTGTCGGCGGTTTGTGAATGCCAGTTTGTAGTGTTACTTATGGGTTATTAAATGCTGCTAATAATAAGATACACGTACATATACTCTCTATATGTACGTGCATCATTAAAGCTTATTTTATTTGAACAATGTGTTCCTTAATGTGTTCTTGGTTACGGCGATAATCGTTTTCCCATCTTTTAGCGGTTTATCTTTGCGTTTTCGCAGAAAAACGGCACTATTGAGGCTGAAACTTGCTTTAGTTATGATCGGAACTAGTACTTGACGGTTAGATCTAAACAAGGCTACATTATAGGCTATAGTACATATATTATTGTATAGTTTAACATAACATAGCTCAGTACAGTAAGTAAAAAGTAAACTATCTTATTACAGGAAAGCATAATATAGTAAAGTATCGTTTAGCCTAGTCTAACAGGCAAATTTTGTGCCGATATAATCGACAGGTACCTCGAAACTTGAAAATTGGTTCCCAAAAGAGTTCGCCTAGTCAAAAACGTCGAATAGAACGTCGTTAAAACGTCGAAAGTACACAAAAATGTCCCAAATATTGCTGCCAAAGAAAAAGTGAATGATCAATGCCAGGAAAACAGCCACAATTGTGTTGTTCATTACGAGAATCGATGTGAAAACCATGTAAAGCTTTCACTTATTGGTGCTTTTGAGATCATTCATAAATCTGAGCTTGAGCCAGTATGAGAATTTAATAATCAAGCTCACTCTTTACAAAATATCAAACTCCGAAGGCTTCTGGAATCTCATTTTCTAAAAAATGCAAAATAGAAAGGTCTTGCCCGGGATCGAACCGGGGACCTTCTGCGTGTGAAGCAGACGTGATAACCACTACACCACAAGACCACCTGCTTCGGGTGCCGACAAACGGGGTAAACTTTTTAGTGTCACCTAACTACCACCAGTACCTAAGCCTTCCACTTTTTTCATCCAAATCATTGATTTTTTCCCATAAAGTATCGAAATTTTATCTTTTACACAAATTAGAATTGAATACCAGCCTTTATAAGCGACGAAGTGATGATGAAACCTGGTGAACTTAATTCAAACTTCTTGATTTGTCACGTTTCCCGTTCTTACCTGTATCATTAGTAGAGATTCGGCTTTTGAGACTTTGGTGCCCATCTTTTTCAACTAAAACTCTCAATTTATTGTGTTTTAGAGATGGAATACCTGTTTCATCTTTTTATTTTTCACAAAACCGAGAGCATGCACGAGAAAGCAGGGCAAAATGAGGGTGTAGGAATCAATAAGAGAGATTCCAGAGTCGTCGAGAAAGAAAAGCTCTTTAATAGCTTGTATAGCTAGATGAAATATCTCTTAATTCCATTCAAGTTTGTGCACTTTTGGTCGCTATAAGGCTAGCCGGTTAACTATTCACGAGATTTTTGTCCTTTTGTTTCCCACTGGAGAAATCAAGGTTAATCGTCAACTAAAACTCTCAATTTATTGTGTTTTAGAGATAGAATACCTGTTTCATCTTTTTATTTTTCACAAAATCGAGAGCACACATGAAAAAGCAGGGCAACACGAGGATGAAACAGGTATTCTATCTCTAAAACACAATAAATTGAGAGTTTTAGTTGAAAAAGAAGGGCACCAAAGTCTCAAAAGCCATTCAAAATGCATTTTGAATGGTATGAAAAGCGATGATAGCACCAAAGTGTTTTGATAATGTTAACCCAACCAGAACTTCAATTAAATATAGCCCTCTTTGGATGTTCGGAGATTTTAGCGGAATTTGGATCTTTGGGCTGTTCAATTCTTAGCTTTTATGTCTGTACCTGCTGTCCTAAAGCTGTAAATTTGTTGGAAATAATTTTTAAATAAATAAAAATGTGCTTTTACTAAAGAAAAATTCTTCCTACATACAAGTTTTTATTTAGAAAACAGCTAAAAAATTTTTGTGCCGGTGACTGATTCGATTGGACACATTTGCGGGTTTGAAAAATGGGCTGCAAAACTCTAATCAAAGATCTTTTCGTACAGAAATGTAGGCAAGAGTTCAGGCTTCCAATTCTCTATATAATACTTTTGAATCGATTGCGGCGTTTGGCATGCTTTAAAGTTTTTAAATACAAGAAATTTTTTTTTGATTTTATAACAAAACAATATTAAATATCCGTTCGAAAAGTTGGCTATAAATCCTTTTGAACTGAATCGTTGTACATGGTCTAAAACAAATGAAGTTCAAATGAAGAAATATGGATCAAAAAAAATGATATTTGATTTCAAGATGTGGAAATAGCTACCTGTAGTGAGCTGATTTTAACCAATGGATGGGATTTCTTTCCGAGACGTAAAGCGATGAGAGCCAAGCGGTATTCCTAGAAATGATATTCCTAGAAACGGTATTCCTAGAAACGGTATTCCTTAAAACGGTATTCCTTAAAACGGTATTCCTAGAAACGGTATTCCTTAAAACGGTATTCCTAGAAATGATATTCCTAGAAAGAGTATTCCTAGAAACGGTATTCCTAGAAATGATATTCCTAGAAAGAGTATTCCTAGAAACGGTATTCCTAGAAATGATATTCCTTAAAACGGTATTCCTAGAAAGAGTATTCCTAGAAACAGTATTCCCCGAAACGGTATTCCTATAAACGGTATTCCTAGAAACGGTATTCCTAGAAACGGTATTCCTTAAAATGGTATTCCTTAAAATGGTATTCCTAGAAATGATATTCCTAGAAACGGTACTCCTAGAAACAGTATTCCCCGAAACGGTATTCCTATAAACGGTATTCCTAGAAATGGTAGATTGATCGTAAATGAGCAACTAAAGTTTTGTTGACTTTTGTTTTAACGAATGCCTATTGACTTTTGACTATTGTTTTAACGAATGCATCACTTTAAATCCAAAAAATCGCATTCTTGGTCAACCAATTTGTATTGGAGATGAGCAATACGAAATCGCTAGTTTTTTTTGTCAAATCCTCACAACAAAATCCAATTCGCAAAATTCGAGAATTGAATCTTTTGAAGATAATTAATCTGTTTTGATTACGTTTTATCTTGTTCCTTTAGGACCAACTCCGGAATTTTCCGACCGTATTTTAGCTTTTACCTTGCTGCACTATCGTTATGGTTCCAATTTTTTTTGATGGGAATGGTAGCAAACTTTCTCTTTAGCTTTCTTCTTTTGCCGACTAACTCACCCTCACAAAATACATCACAACAATTGGTTCAAATACAGCATAAAGACTGATGGCTATCGTAAATACTTCCAGATCCACAAATTGGCCAGTCATTGGCATAAGAAACAAAGCAGTACAAGGGATATATTCAAGGATTATTGGCACAATGAACTGGAAAGTTAGTAGTTGAACAATGTAGTTAAAGTTTGTGATTGAGTCCTTGGACTGTACTTGGACTTACTTGGACGATCAAACACTGGAACAATTGTTTCTGCAATCGATATCTCCGATCACTGATCATTTCTGTTGAGTTCAGCTTCTTGTGCATTGACCAGCCCAAATAGAGAATCACTAGAAGATGTCGATTAAATGTTAATATTTCTATAATCAATAGGTATGCTTCTTTTTCCGTTCATCATAGCCAAACTAACCACAAAACATGGCACTCATTTGCGTCATACACACACCCAAACAGATCCATGGTCGTGGGTTGAATTGTAGAGAGATGCCATTGTCAATCTGAGAGGGAAAAAAAGTGGAAATGGCTATGTATAGGGTTTTAGCTTTCTAGCATGAAAAAAGTAGGGTTTTATTAAAGTTAAAAGCTTACAAAATAATTGTCTCCCAAAACGCCTGTCTCGTTTGGCCAACGATCAGTAAACTGATGGAATCCCTCAGCGATACGGTCGGAAAATTCCGGAGTTGGTCCTAAAGGAACAAGATAAGACGTAATTAAAACAGATTAATTATTTTCAAAAAATCCAATTCTCAGATTTGGTTTATTGAAATTTGATTGAATTGAAGCCAGTTTTTAAGGGTTGAATTAAGGCTGAATTAAGGCTGAATTAAGGCTGAATTAAGGCTGAATTAAGGAACAAGAAATGGAAGACAAAGAACGGAACAATTTTCTGATCCAAGAATGGGAGAATTTTCTGATTTTCTGATTAAAAAGTTATAAGTGAAGACTTCTGAATTTCAGCTTGAATTAAGGCTGAATTAAGCCTGAATTAACCCTGAATTAAGCCTGAATTAGGGCTGAATTAAGCCTGAATTAAGCCTGAATTAGGGCTGAATTAAGCCTGAATTAAGGCTGAATTAAGCCTGAATTAGGGCTGAATTAAGGCATCAAACCGTTAGCATCAAACAGATCAAACCGTTAGCATCAAACAGATCAAACCATTAGCATCAAACCGATCAAACCGTTCTTTGGCAATTCCTCTTTGTTTATTATGATAATCCGATAGCTTTTGTTTAGAAAGCTTTGATGGAAAAACAAAAAATAAACTGACCAAGTGGGGAGGGTTTCTCGTTGGATAGTGGAAAAATCTTGTGGAGCAAGGTAAGTTATCAACTAGTTAGTTACCAGCTTTCTTTAAGATCTCTGCAGACGAGCAAAAAGTGTTAGAATAGCTCAAATGCCCTACTGGCAAAACCATTCAGTCGCCATGAGAAGATGAATTGTTTGTTTGTTTTTTGTTAAAAAGTTTCTTCTTTTACTCGAAAAGTAAAAGCAAAAAAAAACATTTTATCTTTATGCAACAAATAACAAATACAAAATCAATGTACAGACAATGTTTATAAGTTTTATTGATCGTTCTCCACTCTCCATCAACTTTCCCCTTCAACACTTCTCTAGTTGTGAATCAGCTTTGCAACTGAAAACAAAACTTTTTCCTTATTTGTTGTGAGTAAAGATTTTTCATTTGTTTTTCATCTTTTCATTTTCATTTCATTTAGTTTGTACATGTTACGTCCAAATGAACTGGCGTCCAATTCAGAATCGAATTTGTTCGGAATCGGACGACTGACCGAATTAGATAACTGCTTGATCTCAAATTTTGACAGACTGATCTTTGGAAGCTTGGCTTGGCTTTGGAAGCTTGACAGACTTATCTTTGGAAGGCGGGGGGCTTGCCAGGCCTGTAAAAGGCCTGTTACAACCTTTCTTGGTAGACCACGTATCGATATTGTTGTAAACAATATTCTAACGAATCACTCAAAAAGACCTTCGGTAATGTTGAAATAGATGCTGAACATGAATCAACTGTGCTATAGAATAGAATCAACTATGCCATAGAATAGAATCAACTATAGAATAAAATCAACTGTGCTATAGAATAGAATCAACTGTACCATAGAATAGAATCAACTATGCCATAGAATAGAATCAACTGTACCATAGAATAGAATCAACTATGCCATAGAATAGAATCAACTATAGAATAGAATCAACTATGCCATAGAATAGAATCAACTGTACCATAGAATAGAATCAACTACGCCATAGAATAGAATCAACTATAGAATAGAATCAACTGTGCTATAGAATAGAATCAACTGTGCTATAGAATAGAATCAACTGTGCTATAGAATCAACATCAAGCCATAGAATCAACTGTGCCAGAAGTCAAGTGTTTGTGTGTGAAGCTGATTAGTTAATGGCTTCAAAACAATAAACTATTAAGAACCGAATTGTTATACATACATTACACATATATTTCCTCTTAGCGTACTTCCAGTTTTCCGTTTTAGGGGATTAAAGAATGAAATGGATAGCTTGATGCATATTAGTGTTGATTTTTAAAAAATCGGAATAAAAGAGCTAGTTTTCAGCTAACTAGTAAAAGCCAAACATGAATCAATCAAAAGATCAATTCCAAGAGATCCATATAGCAGTTCCGTTTGGTAAAATTACTGAAATTGAAATTACCGTTATTTTTTTTGTTTGATCTTCGACATTGACTGCTGAGAACACAAGCTCCTTGAGCATTTCTATAGAAACCGACAGCACACTGGCACACACCACGGGGCACCATGAGACAAAGCGGTGAGCAAGCCTGCAATTCAAGGATTATTATTTTTATTGTTATTATTTTATAAACAATAAGCAAAATACGGCACTAACTTACAATTGGTCCCTGTCCACAACGTTGTTCACATGCTTGACCGCACGAATTGCAGATCTCGTTGGCCCCACACCGAACATTTGCACAATTGCTCGATGCGGTGATCGTTCCACCGATTTGAGCTGAATCATTGATGAAAGTTGAGGACTGAATTATCCGTTTTAATCGTTTAAACTTTTTTCGTTGCACATTTAAGGTGAAAAATGGGTACTGACCAGTTACAACCCTATTGTATCAAGTACGGTTACCCACGACTCTCCTGGTTCAAAGAGGAATTTACCTATATAGTTTAACATTTTTTTTAATGTTATCTAATACTGTTGTGTGGGCATTAAGACAAGACCCTACTTTGTAAACTTTGTGGTTTGAAATGGGGGATCGGTAATAGCTAAAAGGATAAGTAATAGCTAAACGGATTAGTAATAGCTAAAAGAATTAGTAATAGCTAAAAGAATTAGTAATAGCTAAACGGATTAGTAATAGCTAAAAGGATAAGTAATGGCTAAAAGGATTAGTAATATCTAAAACGATTTGTAATAGCTAAATGGATTAGTAGTAGCTAAAAAGTAATAGATAAGTAATAGCTAGGCATAGCGTCGATTAAAAGCAATGTAGAGTCAATTTCATCGAAATAACTCGGAACCGGTGACAAACAAAGCCGAGCGGAACTGGCGCTCGTGTCTAGTATCGTACCAGTCACTAACCCTAGCCTTATATACAAAAAGCATCATCATTTGTTCGACGTTACCAATGAAAATCAACAAAATTACCAATGACTGTGTAGGCGCTGATCAAGACAAAAAGAAGACAGACTACCTAAAATAGTGCATAAAAAGCACAGGCAAAAATGAAACACCAACCTTTTGGTTCATTTTTCGGGAAATTTTCAAAAACTTTTCACATCAAATTGGCTTATATAGAGACTAAGTTGCAAAACAAATTTTTATTTACGCTTTTCGACTTTTTCAGATATTTTCATTGATATTTAATATCAAATATTCAATGTCTGGCTGTAGACTTCACAATATTTACGCCCATTCATTCTTTTTTCTGATGAAAGCTGTATCTACATCAAAAAGACTATGCATATTGCTATTTTCTCTCTCGCCTACCTTGAATAGGAGTCTATAAGATGAAAATAGAAATAAATATGGTTTGTGATGTTTGTGCTCAGTCAAAACATGGATGTTTGTGTCGAAATTTCTTTGTTTAAAGTGTAAAAATATCGATCTGATTTGTTTTTTTTGCATTAATTTAGGCAAACTCTTAATATCAAGCTACTGGTTAATCGAATTCAGGTCAAAGTTTTCGGTTTTTCAAACCTAAATCTATTATTGAGAGGTTAAGCAAGAGGATAAGCTCGTTATCATGATCGTTATTATCTAAAAAATATAATCCATACAACGGCAACCACGTTTTTTAAGTCTAACTACTGATAGTTTGTTGATAAGAGTGATCTTTGTTGGTAGATTTTAATAAATTTAGGGTCATTAAAATCAAAAAAATTGTAAATCCTTGCTGGTCTTCCGATGGGCCTCTTCTGGTCTCGTGGTAGCCACTCTGCGACCCGTATCGTCCATCTGTCGTCTGTTCTTCTGGCCACGTGACCGGCCCATCTGAGCCTTTTTCTCTCAATCACTTCCACTGGATCTCTGAGTCCCGAGAGCTGGCGCATATCCGTATTTCTTAGGTCTTGGTCGAGCTGCGTCTTCCTATTGGGCTTAGGTTCCTTTCGAGGGCTCGATGTGTCGTTCTCAGAGCTCGTTCGGTGGTCTGTGGCCCAGGTCTCTGTCCCGTAGCAGAGTGGCGGGAGGACGGTGCTGTCGAAGAGGTGTGCCCGAGTCCTCTGGTGACTCTTGAGGATCTTTGTGACTTCTTTGATGCTCCCTAGTGCTGTCCAGGCCGCTCGTCTTCTTCTGCCGACTTCTGGTCTTAGGTATCCCTCAATGTTGATGCTTCTTCCGAGGTAGGTGTGGGAGGTGACTACTTCTAGTTGAAAATTCTATCCCAAGAATTCTATTAAAATTCTACTTGCTGGACTAAATCGAATCATTTCGGTTCGACATGAAAGCTCAAAATCGTGCATGGCAAAAGAAGAAAATGGAACTTGACAAAAATTCGGGGAATTTCATACGCACCAACTCAATTTTTAGTGCTCAATTGATCGAGCGCTCATTTATTACGAATACGAGCATTAATTGCGGTGAATTGTATAGTTTTTCAAATGTCAAGCCGTATTCCGTAGTCCTTTATCCCTTTTTATACTGCTTTTTCTAAATAAACAAGGAAAATAGAGAATTCATTGAACGATAGCTTCGTCGTCAGTGACCAGGGATTGGCGCCTCTTTCTCTCTCGATAGAAGATGCGTTTCTCATTTGGTGATGATTAAAACCAAAATCAGACACAACATTTAAGAATTTATGCGCCTTTCTGTTAGTCACGCTACTGAATAAGGTTGTCCAAAAAGATTGGGCAGATTTTGGTAGATTGGTTGGTTAATTAGGTTTTGAGAAGGGTGGTTCGTATGTTAAATTTGTACTTTTCGACTTAATTGGTAAAATTGGTAACATTAACGAGAACTTATAGACCCTTTAATGAGCACTTTATACCTAATTTTTAAGATCTCTGAGTATTTTGCGGGGGTAGGGAAGCGCTTGAAATGAAATCCATTTTACTTTTTCGTTCTCCAGTTCGTCTATATGCCGTAAAAATCACGTAAAATCAAAATAACAAAAATTTTGGTTAAAAATTGAAATCAGAAAGTTTACGTCTAATGAAAATTTACGAAACACAATCCAAATCACTCAGTCCGTGGTGATTAAAATCCAAATCAGACACAACATTTAAGAATTTATGCGCCTTTCTGTTAGTCACCCTACTGAATAAGGTTGTCCAAAAAGATTGGGCAGATTTTGGGAGATTGGTTGGTTGATTAGGTGTCGAGGAAGGTGGTTCGTATGTTAAATTTGTACTTTTCGACTTAATTTTACCCATCGAGCATTAATTGCGGTAAATTGTAAAGTTTTTCAAATGTCAAGCCGTATTCTGTAGTCCTTTATCCTTTTTTATACTGCTTTTTCTAAATAAACAAGAAAATAGAGAATTCATTGAACGATAGCTTCGTCGTCAGTGACCAGGGATTGACGCCTCTTTCTCTCTCGGTAGAAGATGCGTTTCTCTTTTGGTGGGAGCTCCTTTTCGAGAGATTTCCCTTTCGTCTCGGGAATGAAAATCTGCAAGTCAATATTTTGACAATTATTCAAACTTTCTGAACAGTTTAACTTTGTTGAAAACAAGGCTTTACTTGAAAAGCTGTCAGATCGATAATGGTGACGACAAGAAGGACTATGTAAGGAAGCGGAGAAGTCGAATCACCCTAAACAAGTACGTATTAGCAGACACAAAAAAAAAAGGTTTTAGATTTGTTTAAGCTTGATTTATTATATTAGGTAGATCGGCATTGAAATAGATTAGCAAAATGCTTGACCGATGAACAAATAGGAACAAAAGCGCACTAGCGCAACAAAAGCAATAGGAAGTTTATCGTTTGTGCACATTTTCGCTCTTAATCAAACTCAATGGTTGAATCGTAATCTTGGTAATCGACTTTGTAACTTAACTTTTCGAAACTTATAATACAACAGAAACTAGTCATCGATTTTTACAAACCAATTGAAATAGCTGTGGTGCAATCATTGTCCCAAATCGACTCCAAATTGAGAGATTTGCTGTGGCCAAATTGCGAACAGCCGTCGCGTACAACTCGTTGGTGGCCATACATTTGGCGCTATAAAGCTAAAAGAGACAGGAAATGATCGGACTGCTAAATTTCCACTTAACACAAATGCAAATGCTCAGTTTTCAAAATGTAAAACATTTGATATAATGATAATCTAGCGCAGACGACCTTTGCTTTGCTGGCGCTGTCGATAAATCTATCAGTTAGGTCAAGGGTTCGATTCCTCTCTTAGCCAATTTTTTTCCTTTTTACCTTAACACTTTAGAATTGATGTAAAAAGAAATGATTGAAGCTGATGCAAGTTAGTACTTTGTATAATTTATATTTTTCTAGGTAAAAATTTGATATAAAGGCTTAGGCTTAGGCTTAGACTTAGACTTAGACTTAGGCTTAGACTTAGGCTTAGACTTAGGCTTAGACTTAGGCTTAGGCTTAGGCTTAGGCTTAGACTTAGACTTAGACTTAGGCTTAGACTTAGGCTTAGGCTTAGACTTAGGCTTAGGCTTAGGCTTAGGCTTAGACTTAGACTTAGACTTAGGCTTAGACTTAGGCTTAGACTTAGGCTTAGACTTAGGCTTAGACTTAGGCTTAGGCTTAGGCTTAGGCTTAGGCTTAGGCTTATTAGGCTTAGGCTTAGACTTAGGCTTAGGCTTAGGCTTAGGGTTGGGCTTAGGCTTAGGCTTGGACTTAGTGCGAAGGCTAGCGGCTAGCGCCTCGCACTAAGTCTATTTGGGTTTGGGCTGAACCCCCATTTTCTGGATCTCAGCCAGTTCTCGGATTAGGCTTAGGCTCTCTTTGTTGAAAGTCGGGCTCACTAGGAAAGTTGATTTAATTAGAAATCGAGTTACGGGGTAAGACAACACTCACAGTCGTGCCAGTAGAATTTCGTATTAGAAAATGTAATCGTCTTTTAACCCATAAATTAACTTTTTCCTGTTAAGATGCAAATTAAGTTAATGAAGTAGCGCAATTGCTGCAATCAAAAGTCTGATCTTTCTAACTATTATAGTTTATTTTGAGATAGCAATCCCTAATATAGATTCCAGAGCCGATTCCTTGGATATCTCACTATCGAGGTTCGACTGTACGTTCGAGCTAGACATATTTCAGATTTTGTTAACGGGTTAAACGAGTTGCGCCTCACCTGACTGCACATGGCTGTGATCGCAATCGTGCAACTTCTTAAAACCCATCCACCATTGCTGTTCGGCTCTGTAAATAGATAAAAAAATCAAGCAAAAAGCGTTTCCTCAAACCTTGGTAGTAAGTCAAACAAATCCACGCCAGACATACGGCATTAAAGAGCAACGCCAACGCGTTGATGTGCTTTCGGCCAAACGATTTACGAAAATAATCCCAAAGAGCCACAAAAATGTTCATCGTCCAGCGAATGATCGAAAAAGTGTCGAATATGAGTAAAGAAGTTAAATAAAAAACTAACTCCAAGTAAAATATTGTTCCAATAAAGTGATCCACTCAGCTTCTCCATGTTGAACATTAGGGCATAGTTGACAAGAGAAGTGGCGCCACTAAATAGACTAATTTATCTGATGTTTTTTCCGATTTGGATTCAACAATCTCAAGCGCTACAATGACATGTTTTTACTGTTCTTTTGAATGTTTCTTAGTTTTTATGAATCTATAAAAAGATTCGAAGATAGTAGAATAACATTAACGAGCACTTCTAGACCCTTTAATGAGCAATTATACTTAATTTTTAAGATCTAAGAATTAAAATCCAAATCAGACACAACATTTAAGAATTTATGCGCCTTTCTGTTAGTCACCCTACTGAATAAGGTTGTCCAAAAAGATTGGGCAGATTTTGGTAGATTGGTTGGTTAATTAGGTTTTGAGAAAGGTGGTTCGTATGTTAAATTTGTACTTTTCGACTTAATTGGTAAAATTGGTAACATTAACGAGAACTTATAGACCCTTTAATGAGCACTTTATACCTAATTTTTAAGATCTCTGTGTATTTTGCGGGGGTGGGGAAGCGCTTGAAATGAAATCCATTTTACTTTTTCGTTCTCCAGTTCGTCTATATGCCGTAAAAATCACGTAAAATCAAAATAACAAAAATTTTGGTTAAAAATTGAAATCAGAAAGTTTACGTCTAATGAAAATTTACGAAACACAATCCAAATCACTCAGTCCGTGGTGATTAAAATCCAAATGAGACAAAACATTTAAGAATTTATGCGCCTTTCTGTTTGTCACCCTACTGAATAAGGTTGTCCAAAAAGATTGGGCAGATTTTGGGAGATTGGTTGGTTGATTAGGTGTCGAGGAAGGTGGTTCGTATGTTAAATTTGTACTTTTCGACTTAATTTTACCCATCGAGCATTAATTGCGGTAAATTGTAAAGTTTTTCAAATGTCAAGCCGTATTCTGTAGTCCTTTATCCTTTTTTATACTGCTTTTTCTAAATAAACAAGAAAAGAGGGAATTCATTGAACGATAGCTTCGTCGTCAGTGACCAGGGATTGACGCCTCTTTCTCTCTCGATAGAAGATGCGTTTCTCTTTTGGTGGTGATTAAAATCCAAATCAGACAAAACATTTAAGAATTTATGCGCCTTTCTGTTAGTCACCCTACTGAATAAGGTTGTCCAAAAAGATTGGGCAGATTTTGGGAGATTGGTTGGTTGATTAGGTGTCGAGGAAGGTGGTATGCTAAATTTGTACTTTTCTACTTAATTTTACTCATCTATACATTTCCTCGGAATGGCATCTGTTAACTTTCAAAATCTGGCACATAGACCAAAAGAAATAAATAGAAAAGCTGGATTAAATATGTGAAAGATTGCTTGCCTAAATGTTATAGCAATTAATAGTACCAAGTTATTGTTTAAGATGCAAAAGCTACAGTACTGGACAATGAAATATGATATTTGAAAAAGATCGTCACTTTCGCGCGTCTTTAACTCCCTTGTCTTTGAGCTTAAACTATTAGTGTTATACATTTTCTGAAAGCTCTTTTCAAGGGCTACACAATGGTAATATTAATATCTAGAAATACGGTAAAGACAAGGAAGTTACAGACGCGCGAAAGTGACGATCGGTTTTCAAATATGATATTTCATTGTCCAGTAGTGTATACTCAAAAGCTATGCAAAAGCTCTCAAATCGTTTAGCATCAAAAACATTTCGATTTCTCCGCTCTCTTAGGGACTCATAGTTCGTTCGTTGAACTCCGAACTCTTCAAAATAAACTGAAGTTTCTAGTTGGCAGAATACTTTAGAAAGATTTTATCTTTTCTAGAAACAAGAACTCACATTCCAAAAGCCAAAGTGCTCGTCCAGGACAGCATCTTCCAGGTGCACAAGATGTGATAGTACGTGTATTTTCTCTGCTTTTTTCGGTCGAGTCTCAGCAATCTGAAAGAAAAGACAAAACTCCCGAGTACTTGGTAATCTATAACTGACTTAGTAAGAAAATGACATACTAGACATACTAAATAGAAAGAATATACTAGATAAAATACTAGATAACATACTAGATCTGGGATCGGATCGGACCCGATCCGGATAGACGACTAAAACAACCTCCAGATTCAATTCAATTCGTCTTAGAAGATGATCTCCGGATTTTATAGATCTGGTGAACCGGGTTGGAAGCGATCCTGTTAAGGGAACACCGGACTCCATCTATTTGTCGTAGCCGAAAAAGTTTGAATTTTCTCGGCTTGCTGAAGAGGTTTCAAGCCTTTTCGGCTGAATTGAATTGGATCTGGAGGTTGTTTTAGTCGTCTGGATTCTATCCGGATCGGGCCCGATCCGATCCGATCCCAGATCTAGTATTTTATCTAGTATATTCTTTCTATTTAGTATATCTAGTATATCTAGTCTGGATTCTATCCGGATCGGGTTATTCAAATTACGTGTTGATCTACCGTTTTTATCGTTACAGCTTTTCAAATGTCTGTAATTAAATTTTTCTAAATTTTGTCGGCAACTTTTTGGCAGTTGAAGAAGTGCCATGAAATGAAATATCGTTTCGATCAGCTATTGGTGCCGAATCATTGATTGATCATTGACAATCATGACAATCATTGACAAGCTCGCAATGTAAACTTTCGTTTATTCTACTCATTTTTCAATACGAAATTTTCTGTTCTTTACTTTTAGGGCACAAGCATTGCAACTGCACAAATGGATTTGGGAATGAAAGGTGCAGCTGCTTCAAATGAAAGGTGGAGCTGCTTCAAATGAAAGGTGCAGCTGCTTCAAATGAAAGGTGCAGCTGCTTCAAATGAAAGGTGCAGCTGCTTCAAATGAAAGGTGCAGCTGCTTCAAATGAAAGGTGGAGCTGCTTCAAATGAAAGGTGCAGCTGCTTCAAATGAAAGGTGCAGCTGCTTCAAATGAAAGGTGGAGCTGCTTCAAATGAAAGGTGCAGCTGCTTCAAATGAAAGGTGCAGCTGCTTCAAATGAAAGGTGCAGCTGCTTCAAATGAAAGGTGCAGCTGCTTCAAATGAAAGGTGCAGCTGCTTCAAATGAAAGGTGGAGCTGCTTCAAATGAAAGGTGCAGCTGCTTCAAATGAAAAGTGCAGCTGCTTCAAATGAAAGGTGCAGCTGCTTTCAATGAAAGGTGCAGCTGCTTCAAATCAAACGTTTTCTGCAATAGTTGTTGCCACCACAACAATAATTGCAACAACAAGTGAAATCACAGCTTGTCAGCCGATTGTAGTTTAAGAAGATGTTTTAATAAATGGAGATTAAATATTCTCAAAAGTAACCTGTTGGCGATATTCGAGTGCCTCTTCCAATTCCTGCCATCCGAGTTTATCTTCTGAACGTCCGTCGATCCGTTGAATTTTTGAAAAAACTCGTCTTGCTGCCTCAAATCGATCTTTTTGAACCAACCATAACGGTGATTCGAAAAGAAAGCTGAAAAAGACACTATGTTGCTTCGAATTGCTAGCTTACCAAATACAAATCATCGAGAGAAAGAAAGTAGAGCATTCGCTTTTAGCAGTGTCCTCCAATCGTGGCAATAATAAGCGATCACCGGGAAGAAAATATAGTTCGGTGACCACGAGATCACTGTCGTCACCCACATTCGGTGCCTCGTTGGAACATTTTCCATTGTGTACACGCCAATCGCTCTGTAAAACATATCTTCGACCGGTGGGTTTGTTGCCTTCAAACCTCACTTCAAACCCTACCCTGTTTTCTTCTTGAAAAAAAAAATCCGGTTTGTTTCTGTTTTCTTCCGTGTCTAATGTAAAAGATCTTACCCTTACAAACTGGAAAGTTTATATTGTGATTGATAATCGATACCCTCGACCTCGACCCGGACCTTTTGCTTTCCGGGCGATTGCTCTAAACACTGAGCTCTAACCACTGCTCTAACCACTGAGCTATCCGGTACCTATCCAGTAGTTTCTTTCTAAATCCTTTGGATTTACCAGAAATTGATCCCAATGACAGACCAAGCTCCTTTCAAATCAAAAACTAATGAATCAACTGAAAATAGTTAGGTTTTGATGGAATTTTGGAAAAATCGTCCTTTTAAGTGCTCTTTTTAAAAGTTAAAACCAATGTAAATTGGATTTATTTATTCTATTAATATATTGTTTTCAAAAACAGAAAACTTTCAGGCAAAAACAAAAAAAGATTTGAACCAACAATCTCAATTTACGTTTTTTGCGAAAATAAAAGAACCGATCGAAATTTTGAAGAGAATAAACCCGAGAGTGAAGGCTAAGAGACGAAAGTTTTAAATCCTAATTTTGCTTGTTTGAGATTGACACTTTTGTTAAGTTGTTTCAAGTTTTTGATCTTTGTAGTTATGATTTTTAGAAGGGATATAAAGGATGGGGAGGAAACGGAATCATTCTGTAGGAAAGAGGAAGCAAATGAGCAAAGGAGCTTGATCTGTCATTGGGATCAATGTCTGGTAAATTCAAAGGATTTTGAAAGAATCTACTGGATAGGTGCCGGATAGCTCAGTGGTTAGAGCAATTGCCCGGAAAGCAAAAAGTCGGGGGTCGAGGTCGAGGGTTCAAAGGTTTCCCCTCTCCTCAAAGAGGTTCCCCTCTCCTCAAAAATCGACTTTTTCTTGTCAATTCTTTCACTTCTTTATTACTTAAGAATTGAATAAATTTTAGCCATAGGTCACTATGTGACCTATGGCTAAAATAACTAACTAACTCACTAATTGATACTAATTGATAGTCAAAGTGACACTCACGTTGATAGTCCACCAGAAAAGAAGCCGACTACAATGCGAAGCCAGTAAAACACTTCAAACGAGGTCGCATAAGCATTGATGAACGAGGTGACTGTGATGCAAATCAAAGAAATGAAAATTGTCTACAACTTTTCTCGCTTTTCTTCAGGACTTTTAGGCGTTTACCAGTTTCCTCCCATAACTATCGGAGAATTGACCAAACACAAAGTTTCCCACTAGCACTCCGAGCATTTGAACCGATATCGAATTCTTCACAAGATACGCATCTTTGCAGATTAAATTATACTAAAAATTCTTATCATATAAAGTTTTTTTAAAGCTTTGATTAGCTAGACTCAATCGTTCTCCCACAAACCTCGACATTCACCGATAGAAATTGATACTCAAACACCGGTTTGCAGCTTGTCATCTCAATCAAAATGGGCAACCTCTCACAGGCCTCCGTTTGATCAACAAAAGTCACATTTCCACAAGAAACGATATTCGGAGTAGCACCTAGAGAATAAGCAGCTTCACCGATAAGCAGCTTCACCGATAAGCACCGAGCCGCTCACCGATAAGCAGCTTCACCGATAAGCACCGAGCAGCTCACCGATAAGCAGCTTTAAAAAAGCTTTAAACTTTTTACTGCACTCACCTATAAAGACCATACAAACCTTGCAGATCAACGAGGTTAAAGTCATTAATTCAACACAAAACAGAAACCAAACACAATATCTGAAAGCAATATTTTGATATTTTGAGGCCGAAATCCAGCAAATTTAAATCAACCTTCCCAAAGTCAAAAATTCGTCGATACTTTTTACTCGTTTAGTTGTTGTTGTCTGTAGTTGAGGGTTCTTAAACTCATCTAGAAGCGTTTCTCCATTTTCCGCTCGATCGTTTGACATTACTGGAAATAAAAGCTAGAAATAAGCATAAAAATTAAATGAAAAACAATTTTTTTATAAGAATAATGTAATTTAAGATAGATTTGAATATCTAAAAAACTAAAAACGTCTCTTCGTCTGCCCGTGCGTACGAGATTCATTTCGAGAACCAGAAGAGCTAGAGATCTGAGGCAAAGTCCTAGGTTTTCGGGGTCAAGGATATCCCCGTCGAAGTTAGTTTTCCTCTAGAGGCTTGCAAGTACGTTAAACTGCAAAAAAAACGCTCTTTTTACTTTGATCTTGCCGCCAAACACTTGATTGTCAGAAGCAATTGAAGAGGCAAGAGAAGGGAATGGGTGTAATTGTTCAAGAAAAGGTGAAGAAGTTGGGTAATGGTGAAGAGGAGAAAATTGGGATGACTAAATGGAATTGGTAGGTATAAGTGTGAGAGTGAAAGTGAGAGCTGAAAAGAAGGGTTATAGAGGTTGCGAGGTTAAAGGGGAATGAATGAGGTGGGTATAGATAAGTTGTTAGAAGATCGAGAGGGGTGGAAATTAAGGTGGGTGGGATTGGGGTGCGAAAAGGCAAGAAATAGTAGACTGGAACGGTGGGAGACTTGGAAATTAAAGAAAAATAGGGTAGAATGTAATATGTATTACGTAAAAGGCTTTGGTGATAGTCTGGTAAGTAGGTTTGCTATAGAAATCTCTTTTCCAAGTCTCCGACCGTTCCAGATAAGTTTCGAAACTATAAAACTCAAACATATTAAGTCATATAAAGCTTTTTATAGTGATTGAAAGGGTTTTTTTCTAGAGTGATTTTGTCAAAGTACATAAAAGAATTTGCATAATACTCTTTTCGGCATGCAAGAGAAAAGTTGCCCGTTTGATTTGTGGTTGAGTTTGGTTTGATTTGATTTATTTGATGCAATCTTGTGCAACAAGAGAATACCTACCGTAAATATTGTAATAGTACCTCACCCCCCTCGTACGGTCGCGTAGTTGCAAAAGTTTTTTAGTATTTCATTTTTTTCAAAGCGCCCATACTTTCAAAAAATGCGTCTTTGGTATCAAAAAATAGCTGAAATTCAGGGCTATTTTTTGATAATTGTATTGCTATTGTAGCATAAACCAGTGTCGAGAAAAACTCGTTCAAAGCTAGACTACGCAACACTCCGCATCGTTATTATGGGGATGGGGTACTACAGTACGTTGCAAAATGATAGGACCACCCTCGATTTTTGCGATTTTTGATTTTAAATAACTAAAAATTTCTTAAGAACCAAACGATCGATTCTTCTGTAATTTTTTACCCAAAAATTGAATAAACTTTGAGAATTTATTGCCAAAAAATCAGAACCAGCTTCTGGTATCATTTTGAAGATTTCACCGATTCTAGTGTCTCAAGTCACTTTTTGAGTGTTTGCCTTCAAATAAACTTTTTGTGGTCAAAATTTTAGAAATTGAACTAAACTTAAAAACAAATATTAACGTAAAAATGAACAAAAATTTCTAATGGAACCAAATTTTAACCCAAGTTTTAGTTTTCAAGAAAGCCTCTTTCTTATGCGATATCAGGGAAAGTGGTTTTAAGAAAAATACAATTTTTAAACCATGTGAACCCCCTTATCTAATTTTTCGAGGGGTCCGGGGATGGGGTAGGGAAAAAAATCGAAGCCCCGGGGCTTTAATTACAGTATTTATGGTATCTTTATTTTTAGCCACGAACTTTTGAAAAATAAGCTCAATTTAAAAAGTAGACTTTTTTGAGTTTTCCATTTTATCCCTGAGACACTAGAATCGGTGAAATCTTCAAAATGATACCAGAAGCTGGCTCTGGTTTTTTGGCAATAAATTCTTTAAATTCTCAAAGTTTATTCAATTTTTGAGTAAAAAATTTCAGAAGAATCGATCGTTTGGTTCTTAAGAAATTTTTAGTTATTTAAAATCAAAAATCGCAAAAATCGAGGGTGCTCCTATCATTTTGCAATGTACTGTATTACAGTATTTACGGTAGGTAGTATTCCGGTAAATTTGCTGGTATTTTATAGTTGAAATAAAAACTTTAACTTTCAAAAACAACTTTACTTTAACTTTAAAAACAAGATCGAGTAAACTTTTGGGTTTCAAATTATTCAAAAAAAAGTTTCAGTTAAATGTAAAAAGATTCTATTGTTAGTCTGAAAGATTTGCGCAAAAAAAATAGCTTTTTATAAAAGTAATGTTTCAACATTGTTAAGAGTTTAGTCGTTAAACGAGTTGCAATTCGTCCCTGAGTTTAGCATTAAGCATATCAACATCAACTTATTTACTTAATTGAATAGCTTTTGTTTTAAAGTTTGATTGAATTTAGAAGTTGAGATAAATCAAGCTTCTTGAGCCTTCTTGAGCAAGCAAATTAACAAACTTATTTTGAACGGAACCCAATTAGAAGGCAATTAGATTTTTGAGTTTCAAACTGAGCTAGATTTTCATTGTTTGATCTTCATTGTTTAATTTCTTTCTTTTAAAAACGAATCTGGTATCTAAAACACCATTTTCAGGTGGAATTCACTCATAAATTTGGTTTGTCTTGTATGCATCCTCCTTTCTGGGACAATATAAATTAGGCGAGTCAATCGTACCGTATTGTAGAAACCTACCTTAAATACTGTAATAGTACCGGACAGTCGCGTAGTCGCAAAAGTTTTTTTCTTATTTCATTTTTTCAAAGCGCCCGTACTTTCAAAAAATGCGTCTTTGGTATCAAAAAATAGCTGAAATTCAGGGCTATTTTTTGATACCTACGCGCGCTACCTTTTTGATACCTACGAGAAAAACTCGCTCAAAGCTAGACTACGCAAGACTCCGCACCGTCATTATGGGGGTGGGGTACTATTACAGTATTTACGGTAAGTTTTACGACGATATACGGGAGTATTTAAAGAAAAAGAAATCCACCTGCAGATTCAGATTTACCTTTTAGAAAAATACAGCCAAGATTATGAAATTTTGAAGTGCACATTCGCCAAATTTTCATTGAATTTTCGCTAAATGTGGTCAAATTGTTGCAAAACGTCAAATCTAATCGTTGCAAAACGATTAGAAAAAGAAATATGAAATCTTTTACATCAATACATTCCTATTTCACTAAAATTATAGTAGATATCGCAGTTGACACCGGACCGAAAATCATTGCTACTCGAGAAGAACAATTTTTGTTGTTAATCGTCATAATTCATGTTCACTAAGGAAGCGTATTGGCTAGTGGATTGACTGAAAATAGACGGTATTAGAAATAGAATTGAATTGGATGGAGGACTTTTAGCTTTTCAAACCAAACAAAAGTTTCATTGAAGTCATTGGATTCCAAAAAGTAATTGATACAAAATCTGGGCATATTATTGTATTGTATTGCATTGTACATCATATGCAAACTAATCGTACACAGAGTCGAACTAGATAACAAATGGGGATGACTCGGAAGAAGTTTTGGGGATGATCTGATGGGTCGTAATAAGAAAGTCGTGTAATGGGTACTGTAAAGTAGTGTGCTTTCAATTTTTGTTACAGTCATTGAAGTTTTCGTTACAGTCCTATTTATCGAGGAAGTTGGATATTGTTTATTTGTGTTTCCCATTCATTGTATCTCTCGTAGCCGCTGTTACTGCCGTATGAAATTTTGCTTATTAGAATTCATCGAAATAATTCCAAGCAAAGAAACTATCACAATCTCACAATCACTCTCGATATAAAAAATTCTCGATATCTTGTTTTATATAAAGTCCGATGCTATAAGATCTTTTTACTAATAGCTTTATAAAGACATAAAAAGCGTATTGGTTCTTCTTAAAATTGGTGTTTTCTATTAAAGCATTCTATTTTCTATTTTCTATTCTTTTTCATTCGGCAGCTAGAGCAATTCGTTTTTTCAAGACTCGCTTCTTTCAATTTGATTTGTTCGATTCGGGATCTACATCATAATTATGGGTCTGCCGGTGTCAGCTTTATCTGTGACCATTTGGTGCCACCTATATGTTGTTATTTTATATCTTTTGCTTTTTTCATGTTTACCTTTGTTATTTGATATAATCTCTGATCATATAATGTATTTTTAGAGATGTTCAAGCCGAGTGTTGATCGGAACTCGATCATAGCGTTGCATCGGCTTTTGACACGTGCAATTTCTCAAAATTTGGAAGTTTCTACGCGGCTCGTGAACAAGATGATTGTTCCAATAGTAAGAATGATCCAATAGTAAGAATAGAATCCAATGATCCAATAGTAAGAATAGAATCCAATGATCCAATAGTAAGAATAGAATCCAATGATCCAATAGTAAGAATAGAATCCAATGATCCAATAGTAAGAATAGAATCCAATGATCCAATAGTAAGAATAGAATCCAATGATTCAATAGTAAGAATAGAATCCAATGATTCAATAGTAAGAATAGAATCCAATGATCCAATAGTAAGAATAGAATCTAACAAAAAAATAGGGTGAAAAGCAGAGAGAGGTGCCCCAAAAGCAAAAGTTTTCGGGCAAAAGCCGGGCCTGGCTGCAGTTAGGTCGGCCCAATCCAATGCAATCCGGCCCGGATAACATCAGCACTAATCCTCACAAAATATGTTGGAAGAATCTCGGCTCTTTGATCTCTTTTATTATGTAATACTTTGAATCTAATAAAATTTTCAGTAAAACATCTAAAAGTTAGGTATTATTACACAAAATCGTCGTTAGAAACGCTTTGCATAGCCTCACGTTTTGTCAATTTTTCGCGTTTTTGAGCAATCCGGGCCCGGACTGGTTTGTTTGGTTTCGAGAAAATTTTTGGAGCATACAGTATTTATAGCAAACAAGTTAACGTAAAAACTTACTTGATAAGCGCCAGCGAAAAACAAGAATTGACTTGAAATTGTCAGTATTTGAAAAGCAGAGATGGTTGATTTGAGCAAGTCGTCTTTAGGGGAACCAGAATGGTTCTCATTTCTTTTTTGAATGACCTTGATCTTATAAAGAGTTGAAAGAAAGAAAAGAAAG